CTCCTGCGGGAACTTCGCCTTTTCCCCCCAAAACACGGGCGGGCTCGGGTGGGTGGGGGGTCGCTCTGCGCCCCCCCCCGCCCCGGCGGGCGCGGCCTCCCCCGCGCGGCCGCCGCTCCCCCTCGCGAGCGGCAGCGCCGCTAATTGATGCGTCTGGGCGAGTCTAGACGGGCGGTGATTGAGGCAGCCGCCAATTACGTCCCGGCCCCGATGAAGTTCAGGGATGTGCCCGGGGCGGGGGGGGCACCGAGGGGGGGCAGCGAGGGCGCCGGGACCTGCAGCCGCCGCCGCGGGAGCGCGCGGGGGGGTGGCGGGGAGCGAAAGGGGCCCCCCCGCGCGCGCTCCCGCACTGCGGCCCGGGCGCCGCGCGGCCCCGGCTGCCCCCGACCCGAGGCCGCCCCGGCAGCAGCGCCCTGAAAAAGGCAGTCTTCCCTTCTTTACACATAGATCCCTTTTTTTTTTAATATATTTTTCCTATTTTCCCCCGTCTGCGCCCAGGTGAAGGGAGCAAAGCCAGCGCCCGAGGGGGCTGCACTCACGGGGTTTAGGATTTTTTCCTTTTTTTCTCTCCCCTCTTTTCCACGTAGGTGAAATAGTCAGTGAAATTACAGGCTCGGGAGGCAGGAGCCGCGAAAGCCTTTTCCAGTTCACTGGCTATTAAATAAGGAGAGCCGTGAAACGCAGCCCAGGCTATTAAATACCAAAACGTTTCAGGGTTTGGTGCGGGGTTGGTGCATTGTGTCTGCAGTCGCATTCAAGCATCGCACCGCGATTCGGGGCTGTAACAAGGTACAGCAACTCCAACATAAATCGCCTTGCAGAACAGAGATAAGAATTACAGTTGCAACCATAATTAATTTTACAACATTAAAAAAAAATCTGATAGAGAAACACAGCAGCGGGAAGCATTTTTAACATTTCTGATTTGTCATTTACAGCAAGTTCTAATGGAAAAAAAAACCAGGAAAGTCTTAAGCTTAAAAAAGATAATAAAAAAAAAAAAAAAAGGAAAGAGAAGAAAAACAACATGGACCAGAACTAAACTTCAGCGTTTGCTCATTAATTCTTTTTAGCCATTTTGAACCTCGGTACCTGTAACCATTTTATTCTTCGGTTTATTTTTGATCTAACAATCAGGAAGCTCCAACAGTCTCCTGGCTTTTTTTTTTCTTTTTTTTTCTTTTTTTTTTTTTTTTTGTCCATAGAGCACATTTCCAAGATTAATCGCTCAGTTTTAAACTTGGACGCAAGAGGCATGCCGGGATTTCAGCTGAGGTCAAGCACCAACGTACCGAGCTGTTACTGCTACGCTCTCAGGGTACTCTGTGCTGCTCTCAAGAAGGGGGGAAAAAAGGGAGAGCGATGCTGGACACACCGGCCTGCGGCGAGGCAACGCTCTCTCTGCACGGAAATCAGGCATGGATGTTATGACACCTACAGCTGTAAATATATATACATACCGAGGGGTTTATTTACCTGTATACATAAGCATGCACACGTATCGTCCATAGGTGTAGCTAGACGCACACCTCGATAGTTGCATTTACATGCACCCGTATCGTGTATACCTTATCTCCACACGTGAATATAATAATCACTATATGTGTATACACACATATACCCCCATATCGGCATCAGCAGTAAAATTATCCCCCTTGAATATACACACACACACAAAATCTGTCATGCAAACACTCCTTTTAATTTGAGAGGAGGTTTTTAAGGTAAATGGCCATAACCACCGCCCTGCTATGAGCTGATCAGTCCTGAGGAGGATACTTTTTTTTTTTTCCCCTTAAAAGGTCTACTAAACACTATTGTATGTGTGTGTATATGCCTCTATATATACACACACATGCACAAACACACACGCACAAATACATATACAAGATATATTTATAAAATAAAATAAAGATGTCAAAGCACAACTCACAGCTCCCAAGAGCCTAACCCGTGGATTTAAAAGCTAAACATCACAAGTTAGGGTCTCAGGGATTGAGAGGGGCGCAACGAACTAGTTCTTGCAAAAAAATAAAAAATAAAAAAGGATAAAAAATAGAGATAAAAAGGAGAAAGAGGAAAAGAATAGCAGGCAAGTTCAATTCATGGCTCAAGATTATAACACAGGACACACAGGTGGAAGGAAAGCGCTTCTCTAAGGACCCTCTGTTGAGAGAATACATTCCGGTTTTAATGGTGCGCACAAAAACGCCCCGGCGCGGCAGGTTCCTCGCGGCTCGCGACAAGGTCGCGGGCGACCCACGCACGAAAACGGCCCGCGTGGCTCCGCTGGCGCGGAGGAGGGGAGCGCGGGGCAGCGGCGGCACCGCTCATTGTGCGCGCGGGCGGCAGCGCGAGGATGCGGGCGCGCGGGCACAAAGCGCCCGGCGGCGAAAGGCGCTGCCTCCCCGCCCCCTCCGCCGGGCTGAACCCCCCGAGCTGCGAGGAAAAAAAAATGTAAAAGAAAGGAAAAAGAAAGAAAAACCCCAATCAGGTAGAAACTCACCGTTTGGAAGCGGGGGCCGCTCCATCGGCGCCGGGGCAGGCGGGCGGGCCGGGGCAGTGCCCGGAGCGGGGTGGCCGCCCGGCGGGCTCTGACACCCGCGCGGTGGGTGTGGGCAGCCGCGCAAGCCGCTCGCGTTTTTAAAACGTTTTTTTTT